GTTGTGTGACTTAGACGACTAGGTAGTGAACGAAGCTCCGAAGAGCCTTCCTTTGAGAACGACCCGAGTCGGGTAGCTCGGTTACCACATGCCCAAAAATATACTCAACATTATTAGTAAATGTTTTTTTTATGTTAAATAATTTGTGAAATCTATTTTTTATGCTAAATAATTTTTTGTTTTTTATTTTAAAATGATATCGTATGATACTATTTTTTTATCCTTTGGATTATAAATACTTATATAAATTACATATTCATATATATAATAATTTATTTATTAAAAAAATAAATAATATATATTTATATTATTAAACATTTTTTTATAAAATTAAATATACATATATATACCAATTCATTTGAGATAAAAATAAATAAAATACATTTTTATTATTATTGAGTAATTAACATTTATATAAGATTAAATATACATATATATATCAATTTATTTGAAATAACAAATAATATATTTGATGTAGAATAGCATGTAGAGATAAAGGTTAGAGATAAATGTTCAACTCTATTCTAAAGTAGAGTAAAGTCCGCGCTAGAGTAAAGACTTAATAACTTACCAATGAAAATTGTTGGCACGTGTGGACACCGTTATTTCGAATTTTTTTTGTAACAGACATGTCCAAAAGGCACGTGCATGTAGTGCTTCAGAGATTTTCAAATTCGTTACACTCTACGAATTTGGTTGTACTATATTTTGTGTACATTTTACATGTGAAGTTCTGAAAATATTTTTTTTTTAAATCCTATAAAACATTATCCAAATAAAATTATAATAACAAGATAATAAAATTTAATTAGTATCATTCTGTAGTAGAAAATCTTATTAAGATTAATTTCAATTATACACGACATGGAATGAACAACTGAACATGGGAAAATGTCATTGAGATTTAAACTAAAAGACACATAATCGAATCCAGCGATTTTGCTATAGAGTCATTGGATGACTCGACTTATGGACTCATCCATAGTTATTCACAAATGATGTGTTGACACGTGTCCTGCAATAAATGCACATTGGACATGTGTCAGTACATAAAGTTATGGATCACCCCATAAAGAAGAGTGAGGGGCACCTACGGTGCATTTTTAAACAGCACTTACGGTGCCCCCTCCCCCACCCTTGGATCATGTTGCCCCCTCCCCCACCCTTGGATCATGTTACTTAACATGATCCAAGGGTGGGGGATGAGGCACCGTAAGTGCTGTCACCGTAGGCGCCCCTCACCACATAAAGAAGCCCTCCGATGGCTCCATAGAATTTCTGTCGAATCCGAGGCTGTAATGTACAAGGTGCTCTGTCTCACTCACCTTTGCCTCACATTCAAGAAGACAAGTACCATTGGTCACAGAATATTTTCAATGATGAATGACAGTGTTATTTATCCCAGTCTCTTAACTCAGCTCACAAAAGTCCAGAATAATAAGACCCCACACCAGCTAGAAATTTGACCAATCATTGCCACTGTTTAATTTTCTTTTGTAATAATCAATGGCAGTATCAAGGACAAGGACCCATTTTTTTTTTTTTATTCTTTTTATTTCCTTTTGTAATTTCATTCTTCAAGAAAATATTCGACATGTCGATTATGGCAGTGCCTTCACCCGATATCTTTTTTTTTTTTTTTTTTTTTTCTCAATCGATCAACATAAACTCACATGGATGTGCGTGAATGTGTGATCCAATAGTAAACTGTGCTTACCGTTAGGGTCGAATTTAGCATGATGCGTTGCCAGTCGAGCTATGGCCGATCTGCATTTGAAGGGCTAACAAGGGAAAGAACATTACACATTGCCAAGAAAAAAAACCAGCAGAAAACGTAAATACTTTAAAATGTAATACGAAAGGTTTGGCCAATAATTTATGAAAATAATGGTCATCAGCCAGTAGCACAAAAGCAACCTAATACCATCCTGTTAAAACCAAGATATTGCCAAATAACACCTTTGATCTGCCAAACTCATGTGCAGCAACATGTTCACGCTCGTTGTTATTCTTCATTCGTTTCCTGAGCTAGATGACAATCGATGCTCTAAATGACCTGCCTGCCCGTGAATTCAAGATTCCGAACTGGGCCAGGCCACATTCCCAAATCATGAAAGAAGGAATCTTCACCGGAACAGATTTCAAAAAAATGGTTAAGAGACTTTTCTTTCACTCAGTCCTATTAAGAAAAATAATAATGATTTGAGTCATGTGCATTCTGTCAGTTTCTATCTACTGTCTCGAACGTATGGCTCTCTGATTGCTCCACTCCCATTTCTGTCTCGGCCGAAACACTCATAGCCTCCTTCATTGACTCGATTTCCATGCTTGTCGTTCTGGTTTTCCTATTCCTACGATCCTGCCCGTAAAGTAACCAAAAAAATGAAAACAAGAGAAATGGAACATTGAGAAGTGATTCATCTTTAATCAGTTTTGAACAGATTTTACATTGTTCTTCAGTGGAACTACCAATTAGGACAAGGTCCATCCGTCCACATCCCGATAAAACTCAGTGGTTAACAAGCATTAAGCTAAACTAAATCAGATATGGAATGGAAGCTCACCTCTCGATAAGGAAACTCATCAGTCTCGAGCATTCTAACAACCTGACTCATTTTGGGCCGTTTATCCGAATCTGGATCGACACACCTAAGTGCGATCAGTAATGCACGTTTTAGCGCACGTATGGTTGGCCTAACTTCGAGGTTTGAGTCCACAACTTCCTCAGCTCTCCTACTCCCCACCATCATTTTGAGCCACTCTACAAGATTAACCTGCCACAAAAAGTCACATTTATCATTACCAAGATTTTAGAACAAAAAAATTACCAGATGGATAAAATTTAACTCGCATACCTCATTCGCTGGACGTCCATAGTCCACTGGGTCTCTACCGGTAACAGCTTCCAGTAGTAGAACGCCAAAACTGTAGATATCACTCTTTTCGTTCAATAATCCTGTGTTTGCATATTCTGGGGCCACATAACTGAAAAATCCACAAAAGGGACGGGCTTTTGAGCTGGAAATGGATTATGTAGATAGAAAATTTAAGATTGAAGGAAAGAGAATGGTGGAAAAGCACATGCATACCCGAATGTTCCCATCACTCTTGTAGCTATGTGACTTTCTCCGGACCCCAGTAGCTTAGCCAAACCGAAATCGGATACTTTTCCATTGAATTCCTCATCGATCAAGATGTTGCTTGATTTAATATCACGATGTACGACTTTTGGCTCTATAGATTCGTGCAAATAAGCGAGCCTGCAAGATCAGCAGTGGATGAAACATCAATCCTAAACGGCAATCAAACTTTTAGCCAAAATTTGCGTAAGTATATGATACATAAAACTTGTCATCTTGGAAAATGAAACAAACTTCCCATTTGATTGTACCAAAACTCAAAGGTCTGCCCCATAATTCTTCGAGTCAACAAAACTTTATAACTTTTATTTTATAATGAATATTGATTGTTAAGAAAAGGAAAATAAACAATCAGTGCCAAGAAATTTGTAGTAGAAATTCACTTACGCCTTTGCTGTACCAAGTAGAACTTTCATTCTGGCTTCCCATGTGAGGGTCCCATGTTTCCTCATAGCCCCATGAAGCCACTGTTCAAGATTTCCATTGTTAACATACTCATACACCAACATCCTGCACACATATCATGGAATATCGTTTAGCATAAAATGCATCCATTCCCCCGAAATTAAAATGGGGTTACATTGAGAAGGAAAAATCTTCATAAAAAAAAAACAAGGTGCAACAGGAAAATTGTTCCCATATTAACCTGTGCACTCCTTCTATGCAATAGCCAAGAAGCCGTACTAAATTCTTATGCCGAACATGACCGATAGCCTCGACTTCAACCCTAAACTCTTTCTCTGCTTGACCACTGCAAATTCAGTTTGTCACTCAACCAACAAAAAAAACAAGACCCATAGAAGCTTCAAAATAAAAAAATTAAGAACAGATACGCACAGATTATTAAGAAGCTTCTTAACCGCCACATCAGTCCCATTGACCAACCTACCCCGATAAACGACACCATAACCACCTTCCCCAATAATATGGTCGGACGAAAAACGAGCAGTCGCAATTTCAAGATCTCTAAGAGTGAACCAGTGGCCCCACCCGAGATGAGATACCTCAGGCAAGCCAATCAAAGGCGAGGCCATGGCCAGCCCGTACGAAATAGAGGACTGTTTTCTTGCCTTGCCTGAACTCCCTTCCTCGCCCGACTGAGAACTGTAAGTCCTCTCGTGATGATAAATCGAACTGCACTGACTGATATTGTCTGCATCCCCTGATTTGGTCCTGCATATATGAACTATTGTCTTCTCCGTATTTTTCTCACTTGATTTATCATTAATGGCCAGGTACAAGCTTTCCGGGTCATCGTGTGCGTTCTGGTCCCCGACTCTATCTACTATAATATCTTTCGAGACGTTAGGAATTTGCCATTGGGAGTAGTTGCCCAGTGTTCTTCTTGATTTACGTTGGAACATGATCCATATGGACAATATACCGAGAATAAGAACTATAAATGCACCCATGCATATGCAGATTAAAACCCAAAGTTGGAGATCCCCGTATTTCCTGGATAGCTCGGTGGTTAAGGCGGATGACATTTTTTTCGAAATTTGAGTATAAGGTAGAAGCTGAATGAGACGTAAGCTCCGGAAATAGATTAATCCATTCTACCCTGTATACAAAAACACATTATATTATTAAAAGAATGAGAATGTGTGTAAGAACCACAAGCAAAAACCTAACACTCAAAGTTAGCCCGTATCGGATTCAATTGAACTAGTGCTGTAAAGTTAACTTTGTGGAGAAAAGTCGGCCACACGTATGAGCAGGCTAAGCATTGAAACCTCAACTTGGAGAAAATAGCAACTAATAACTAAACTGATAGCAGCATTTCAACCATAACAACATCTGTTATGGAAAGAAAAGGGTACCCCATTTAATCTACAAATTTGTATATCAAATCAAATCACAATCTAAACTCCATTCAAAGAAACCTCAAACTCTGCACTTCGGCCAGCAATAAAATTAGGAGAAGCGTCAAGAAAACAATAAACAGATAACTAAATTCCGAGTCCAGTAAGAAGTAAAGTAGAAAAAGGAAAGCTCCCCTCCCACATCGTCTCCCTTGAGAAACACAAGAAGCGGAAAAATGTCACCTTTTTTCCTCTCGAAAGAGGCCCAATGAGCATAGATACGCCAATGCAGGGACGAATACTGAAAACCCAGCAAAGAAAAAACTGAGAAAAATGAAATAAAGGGCAAAGAAGTAGAGGAAAATGGAAGTTAAACAGCTGAAAGAAGAGTAATTTTGAAGGCTTTGTAGTGTGCGGTGTGGCCAAAACGAATTCTAGAAAACAATAATAACAATAATAGTGTTGCTAATGATGCAATTAACAAAGCAACAATGTATGAAACAATGCAAGACAAAAAAAATCTGACCTTTATACGGAGTTCCTTTTTTTGCAACTTTTATTTTTCTTGATTTTTTTTTTTTTTCTGGGTTTACAAATGGTGGAAGAATTAGATTTGTGAGATATGGCAGAGTTGGGTGAAATGGTAGGTGGGGTTGTGTGAATGTGGTGGAAAGAGGCACATCAGTAAAGCTGTAAAGAATGCTTGGTTTGCAATGGAGGAAACCAGTGAGAGGGGGGAAAAGAAAAGCAATGGTGAGGAAAAGCAAAGTGTAAAATTTACAGAAGACTGCATTTATAGCAGAGATGAATATAAAATCATTTTAAAGAGGGGAGATTGGTCTCTGCTACGGAACCATTTTGTCGGGATTTATAACTGTTAGATCAACTAGTAATGACGGTTACATAGTGATCTAACGTTTACAAATCTCGACTAAATGGTTCCGGAACGGGATGTAGCATTTCCCTTTAAAGAGAAGGGAAAAGGTAAAAAAAACAGAAAGGGAATGCGTAAAGAGGAAAATAGAAGGAAGAGAATTGTTATGAAATTAAAAATAACCAAATGAGGAATGTGTAGAGGGAAAAATAGAAGAAGAATAATCAATATAGCACAATGAAAGAATAAGAATAATTAAAATGGAGAATTGAATATGAGGAACAGTCAACTTAAGGAGGGAAAAGCAAATTTAGAATTTATTTTACTGTGTTTCATAAATCTGGCTTTTGTCTTGATTTGATTTTTAGTGGTCATTGTTATTCTTGATTTTGTTTCTAGAGAATATGATGACATAATATCTTTATTTCTTTTTTGTTGAAATGTCTCAAAATAAAATCTCTCTCTTGAATTAATGTTAATGTTCTTTGAAGATTTGATAGTAGTATCCCGCTTCTAAAAAAAAAAAAATTCCCTAGTTAAAAAACTCTAGCTCGAAGAGTTATTTCCAATTTCCTGTTACACAAAATAGTGTTTGAATTATAACGGGAACCTATAAACTGACTGAAATATTCAGTTCGTACAAGAAGAACTAAAACAAAATAAAAAATACAACTCGAATGCGGACAGATTAAAGCTGAGGCGATTGAAATCTTTCCACAAGACAAATACGTCTTGTATAGTGCTGACGGGTCTGTGCGTAATATCCGCAAAGATACAACGGCTATACACTCGGAAGATGTAGCACACCAATCTTCAGAGTTCCGGCGAACGGCAATGTAGCTGAGAACAGATGACTTTTCATATAATGTGTGAGGCTTTGAGAGTATTCATAATGCATGCAATGTTTTTTTTTTTTTTTCTGCAGCTCCAAGTCCTATTTATAGGACTTCCACTGAGGGAAAACGAAACAGTCACATCTGCCACTTAAGGCAGAGATAATGGGCAAAACGTTTCAGGTGTCAATACACCATTAACTAGAAGTTAACACCACTAACCAGGAATCAATACCATTTCATTAACACTCCACCTGAGCTGTTACATTTCACATGAAGAGTCAGGTGTTCAGATCCATTGTACATGGAGATGTCTCATTCGGGTTGGGTCAAAACCCGAGTCCAAGTCCAACTTTATTTGAATTTTTCAGTTGGGCCTAAAATTACAAATAAATTTGCAGCAAAAAGATATATATATCATTTGGGCCCAAGGCCCAAGCCCAACTGCCCAAAGCCACCCAAAGTCCAATTGCCAAGAACCAAGAACCAAGGACCAAGGCCCAAGTCCCAGGCCCGAGCCCGAGCCGGCGAGCGCACAACACCAACACTTGGTGCATATCTTTGTGCTTGTTGTAACCTCTCCAACTCTTTTTATTATAATAAAGAGAGTTAACTCATTTAAGAGTCCAATGTGGGAAAGACTCTTGACCCGTCAAATCCCACAACCAACGTTTTACGTGCCCTTTTATGACTAACTTTAACAATTTATTTCACACTCACCAAAAATTATTTTTGAGAAAATAAATATACCACGAGTATCTACTCGGAACGTAGAATTTTTCTATAATATTTAATTCAACTCAAATTAAATATTTAGCCATCAAAGATTCAGTCAAAACCGGGTCAAACCCAAGTTTTATAACTGATTTTTCAAACATTTCCGTGGTCTTCCCCTTTTCCTGCATGTCATCCACAGCACCACCAGATCCAGCCATGGCTGGGTTGGGCGGGGAGGCTCTCTTTTCTGCCCTTCCTACAATCCTTGAGGGGGATCAGGTGGCGGTGACTCTCTCTGCGCTGCCTCCTTCTCCAACTAAGTACAGGGTCGTCGATTTGCCTTTTTCGCCTCCAGCCTCGGGTCAGTCAATGGAGTCTCCAGGACTCTTGTTCGTTCAGCTCTTGCTCAAGTCGGAGACTCCTACAAGGCAGCGCGCCGTTGTGGGTGGTCTGTCGCCCTTCCCTTTCTCGACCATGGAGGACTTTGTGGTGATTGACGTGAGGGAGGTCCTGAATACCGGGAATGAACATACTATCTTACTTGGCCGCATGTTCATGGACACTACAAATACTCTTATCAATGTCAAAGACGGGCGTGTCACCTTATCGGCTCTCGTTGAAACGGTCACCTTCACAATGAGCGAGGCGAAGACAACACCGTTAGTCACCGAGAGTTGCTCCTATATTAATGTGATCGAGGAGGAGGTTCGTAATCTTTTCCATGCCGAGGTCTCGTGTGTGTGGAGTTCCCAATTTAGATGAACCCCAAGAGCTTGATCCCGAAGAAGAAGGTGTGTTAGATCTTTTCGAGCTATCCAAGGAACCCGAGCCCCTGGAAATATTAAACGAACGTAAACTGCTACCATCACACCTCAAGTATGTATTTCTTGAAGACAAGGAGAAGAAGCCTGCCATTATATAATCGGGGCTTTTGAAGGAGGAAGAGGACATACTCGCGGGGGTTCTCAAGGCCAACAAGGATGCCTTCGAGTGGAGTTTGAGTGATATCAAGAGGATAAGTCCGAATACATGTATGCATCGTATAATCCTTGAGGACGAGACTAGGGTTGCAAACGAGTCGAGCGGCTCACGAGCCGCTCGCGAGTGCTCGAGTCAAAGCTTGACTCGAACTCGAGTTTGACCGAACTCGAGTTGAGCTCGAGCGGCTCGAGCACGAACTCGAGTCGAGTTCGAGCCTATATTTTGCCTTGTCGAGCGGCTCGAGATATACGTTAATGACAAAAATACCCCTTATTATATATATTAGCAAAGATGCTTAATGGTAATTTTATCTAATTTTCGAGCCGAACTCGAGCTGAGCTCGAGCATTTTGATTTCGAGTCGAGCACGAGCCGAGCTCGAGCTATTGTAATTTCTTATCGAGTCGAGCTCGAGCCTAAAAAGTTGAGCTCGACGAGCTCGAGCTCGAGCAGCTTAAAAAAACTAATCATGTTCGATAATGCCAATGCTCAACTCGGATTGTTTGCACCCCTAGACGAGACGAAACCTATCCGAGAGGGTCAAAGGTGATTAAACTCGACGTTGATGGAGGTGGTGAAAGGGGAAATCCTTAAGTTGATAAAAGAAGGAATTATCTATGTCGTGGCGGTTAGTGAGTGAGTGAGCCCCGTGCACGTGGTCCCGAAGAAGAGTGGGATTACGGTTGTGGAGAACAATAAGGGAGAGCTTGTACCGGCGAAGGTCACGACGGGGTAGCGCATGTGTATCAATTTCCGAAAGCTCAATGCCGCCACGAGGAAGGACCACTTCCCTTTGTCGTTCATTGATCAACTCCTCGACAAACTAGTCGGTCATTCCTTGTATTGCTTTCTTGACGGATTGTTGGGATACTACCAAATTCCAATTGTCGTTATTGCATAATTTGCATAACAACAATTATATTGTATTATTTTTTTTAGGGAGATAGTTTGAGCATCCTGAACTTCAGTGAGAACTTTTGAGAGCTTAGTTTTAATTTTATTTTATAGTTTTAATCTAACTTTTAGTTCATGTTCTTACGAGCCAAATGTTGAACATTTCTATTTTTCATATTTTTTTACGACACTTAAGTGCTTGTGTACCTACGGAAAGATCCACAATAGATTTTAAAATCTATAAGTTGCCCAGAAAAGTAACGATGAAGTGGAGTGTATGAATAATTAGATTAGAATAGAGTTCTAGTCTAATAAATATGTACTTCAATATGCGTGTATAACCACTTTCTAGTGAAAGAGTTCTGAAGGAAGTAGAAGGCTTCCTGAAGAACAATTTTTGTTTACTTCGTGCTTCAACTTTATATTAGTGCTTGTACATACTGCGTCCTCAATCAATTCTTTATACACGTCAACTCCTTAATTTTGTTATTAAAATGCTCATACTTAAGAGCTCTCTTAAATTCTAGATTCAATAAGTTGTTATTAGAATGAATTTTGACAAATAGAGGGATGAAATATTTTTGGAACTATTAGTTACTATATTTTTAATGTCAAATAATAATTTGTTTATACAATACATATCTCACAAATCTCACAATATACTCACAATATAGGAAACCACCCTTCCAGTTAGGTGTAGAGTATGCTTGGACATATGACATGTTCCTAGTGTTGGTTACAATATTTAGGCATACTAATGACTAGAAAACTAGAAACCTAGAAAACAATATGTAATATGTGAAGAAAACTAGAAACCTAGAAAACAATATGTAATATGTGAAGAAAACTAGAAACCTAGAAAACAATATGTAATATGTGAATGGTGAGTTATATTGTAATTTGATTATTTTAAAGGTGAGTTATTTGGTTTTTAAAGGTGAGTTATTTGGTTGTATTCTTTGCAATTTAATTGATAATAGAAATACAAAAGATTGAAGATATTGGTGGATCTTTTTTGTTTGTTGGTTCTTTTGTTTTAAAAAATGAGAAACATTATTTATCTTAATTAATAAAACCACGTAATTTTAGTTTGAATTTTCAATTATTAAATATATATTAATTTTAAAGTTTAGTTTATATATACATCGCATGTATAGATAAAAGATTGAATCTATTAAATATGAATACAATTTTAAAATATTCTTTAGAAAATGAGAGTATTTTAAAATTGCTAAAAAAAAAACATGATCATCTTTTTAAAATATTTCAAATATAAGAAAATAAACCTGGTTTAAATTAAAAAGAAAGTAGCCAGTAATACTACCAACTAAATTTATAAGTTTGTTAAACATGAGATTTTATTGAATAACTACCAAAAAAGAATTCGTGAATAAACCAATATTTTTTATATGTATGAATTATTAATCTATAGTAAATTTATTGTGTATTGTTCAAATTGAATATAAAATAATGATGGGTCTAATTTGTGAAATTGTAAAATATATTGGTAGTATTGAAAAATATAAAAGTTGACGGGAAAGATAATATTTTGGAAATATTTTTTTTTTTTTTTTTTTTTTTGCGTTTGAGAATAAGTTTGTCGGTTGGAGAAGAATTAGGTATGTTTGTTTATAAATTTATCCCATTCATACTGAATTCATACTCAAATTTGAGAATGAGTTTGTCGGTTGGAGAAGAATTAGGTATGTTTGTTTATAAATTTATCTCATTCATACTGAATTCATACTCAAAATCTAACTCAACGTTAATCCAAATTCACTATTTTCAGTATTATTAATATAACTAAATAATATCAAACAATCATTTTTATACATCGCGTCAATTTTAATTTACTATTCACATACTTTCACAACAAATCAATTTTACTAATTTTATGTTAAATATTATTTTAATATAACCTTAGAATCCAACTAACAACTAACTATACTGACTTTTTAAAATTAACTCTGGTTAACTAAAAAAACTCATTTTTTGCAGATATATTTATATACAAGTGTGCCCTTATTATTTGATGTGATAGTTACTCAAAATGAATTTAACACTGAATTTTCGAAGATGGTCTTAAACATACTAGATTTCCCAACCCGTCTTACTAAAGTTAGTTTGTTCGGTTTTTACTGAAGTCAAACTGTATAGACAAATGTAAGACAATCTTTGAAGATTGTGCTGGATTTCTAGTTTTCTCACATTAACCAAATCTTCTAGTACATGTGTTATACGTTCTTTTTTTCTTTTTTTTTTTTTTT